AAAAAATCCATATTTGATGATTAAATCGTCAACAAGATATTCAAATGAAACTGTCAGTACCTATCTAAGAAGTCGAATCAAGAAAAACCAAATTTTGTAGCTGAAATACATCAGGTAATCCAACTGTTTGATACAGTTTTATTGAAGACTTTTATAGTTGTAAGGCATTTCTATTTCCATCGAAATATTGATCATTAGTTTAAGAGTTATTCCATTTAACAATAGTTTACAACTTAAACTCCCTGTTAGAAAATAAGCTTTGTTATCCTAATGATGTAGTGTTTAGGCTTAATAATAAGATCTATGAATATACTAAGTTCAGTGCCACTCTTGCTATGCTAAAAGAAGAAAAAAAGTTTTTAAAATTCATATGATAAAGCACTTATGCGAATTACTCAAAAAAAAATACAATATATACTTATTTTACTAATATTTGTCAACTTATCTCTAACTCTGCCACTAAAATACTTTTGCTACATATTATCATTATTATCTAGTGAAAGTTAGCCTTACTTCTATAGCATAAATAAAAATGAAATCTCATATAGATGAATATTATTGCTTAATTTTATTAAAGTCGTAAAAGTACTTTTTAAAGTTTTTGCTAATAAGATAATTATTATCTCCTTAAATGACAAAGTGAAGGTCAGATTAGATATTCCTACAGTTAGTCATACATTTAAAACTATTCAAACTATTAATGAACTAGTTATTATTAAAAATCATAATTTCTAATTAGTTAAAAAATAAAACTTATATAATTTATTTATTTAATTATTAATTCAGCTGATTTGAATAACATCTTGTAAACTAGCCAGCTTTATATATTTATTAAATTAAAGTTTTTTATTAGAATATTATCAACAACTCATATTGTAGATTTAGAAAGCATCGTTTTAAATGAAAAGTTTTTCATTATCCTAAAAAAAAAGAAAAAGTTAGATCTATTTAGATCCTTCTTATTAATAGTAGACCTATATAAAGAATATTATTCAATATACTTATTTTTCTTGTATTATTAATCTGGATTATTTGACTGTTTCTATTTATGTTCTGAGTCAAAATGTGTATAATTCAGTAGAATGCAGTATGACTTCTTTATCTGCAAAGTTTGCTGATATCACTCTACTTGTAAGAAAGTTCAGGTAGATAGTTAAGGGAATGTAATAAATAAAGAATTTGTATAAAAGAATTTTAAATACTTAGAAAAAATATTAGGAAATATATAAAAAGGGGATAACATATATAGAAAGTCTGTGAAAGTAGAATATATTTACTAAAAGAAATGTCTAAGCCTTTAATATTATAGAAATGGATTTAAAATTATATGCAAATTTGTCACTATTTATTAAATATAAAAAAATGCAAAAATTGTGAATGTTATAGTAAATATAGATTTTTAGATACTGTTATTCTTTTAAATGAAAATAATGGATTTCCTTCTCTAATTATAAAAGGAAAAAATAATCATTTTATTAATTCAATTCATGCTCTTTAATATTACGATAAACTTAAAATTTTAAAGTATAATGGTTATTGCCCTTCAATTTTAGGAGAACTTCACTAATGTTTGTATTATAATATATACAAAAATACTTTTTAACTCTTAAGTTTATAAAAGAATATAAGTGAATTATATATTTTGAATATTGTAAATGAAAGAGAATCCAAAAATAAGCTAGTAAGACAGAAATAGATTGTGTACTTATTCTGTTAAATTCAAATTTTAATGTTGTTGAAGATATAATTCCAGAAAGTAATTTGTGGTAAGAGGTTAAATAGAATTTTTATGAAGTTCAATCAGATGAAAATTGATGTTTCTACCTAAAAAAAATTGTAACTTATATCAATTTTATGATAATATCATTACATTTGTCAATTATATAATATTACTAATTAGATATGATATAATAATTAATATAATATTACTAATAAATAGACTAATAATAAGACTTTGTAATAATCATAATAATTAGAATTTAAACTTAAATAATATGATAAGTCAGATATAAACATAATAAATAAAATTAAAAACTGACTAATCATATTACGTTAAATGTATTACTTGATATTACTACCTGAACTATGAAACTGATTTCTTATCTATCTTTTGAATCAGTTAATTTCTGGCACATCTTTTATCAATATTTATAATATTAATAATACATAATAAATTTTACTTTTAACTTTTAGATATTACTTATGATTTTATTTAGTTTAGTATAAGGTATTGGAAATATAAATATAAGAATATATTTTATTTAAAAATGATATGAAAAGAAAGAATTATTTATTTGAAATAGCTAATTATTTTGCAATTTAGATTCTAAACTGGTATTTAAAGATTTCAAAATTTGAAGTATATTTTTTGAATATTTTCACTATCAAATTTAAAATATTAATTTTATAATAAATAAATATTTATTTAAGAAGTTTAAATATTACTATTAATATATTATATGATTTTTATTTATAATAATCATGCTGAATTAAATACTTTATATCAATAATTTTAAAATGTTACTTTATTTTTTTTCATATTAATATTAAATGAAAAACAAGTTTAATCAATAATTTAAATATATTATAAAGATCATTAGTTACATTAAAGGAAAATTAAACAAAATGAAATTATTATAACAAATCTTAATTATAAAATAAAGTATGAAATTGAACTAATTTTTTTATATTCATTTCTACTAAAATTTATTAACATAGTAAAGAAACTATGTATTTCTTTCAGTAAATACAAGTTTTAGATCAATAGGTCTTAATAAATTTTGAGGCTCAAGCAACAACTTGTTCTTATTAATGCTATTTTTAGGAAGGGTCCAATTATATTTAAGCACTTTTTTTAAATAAAAAGCAAAGTATATTAATTAATTTCTCAAAAAGAAAAAAATTAAACTTTTTTTTATAAATATAACTTTATGAATACTTACAAAGCATTGAAAGGATAACTCTTTGCTCCATCAAAGAAAAGTTTTGACCAATACTTTGAAATTATAAAATGAAGTAATTAATGGATAATAGATTTATAACGTTTTCTTTATAATAGTAACTTACCAATTTCTTACACCAGTCGAAAATGGAATCCAAGAAAATGGGTGAATCTTTTCATTATTTAAAAATCTTTCAGGATTGTATTGTTCAGGATTTTCCCAATATTTTGGATCATGATTAATTTGCCAAATATTTGTTGTACATATTATGTTCGCTGGTATAAGATAAGGACCAATTTTCATTGGCTTTGTTAGTTTTCGAGGGATTATTTTTGTAGCTGGAGGATGAATTCGTAAGGATTCTTTAATAACTGCATTGATATATTTCATTTCCTTTTTTTTAAAAAAAAAAGTATTAGTTAAGTAGATTTGCAAAATGTGAAAAAATTGTGGTTACCTTTAATTGTAAAATAGCATTTTTTAATATTGTTGTGATTTCAATTAATTCTTGTGTTAAAATAGATGTGAGATAGATATAG